TAGCAATCGTATTGTCCCCACCTCAACCCCAGTCTTTCAACCTATTAAACAATCTGCTCCCAATTCATCCAAGTCATCAGGATCAACTCCGACTATACTTGATCATGCTGAGGTTTACAAACATGGTGAAAGAACAGGCAAAGAGAGTCCGTATGGATTGTATTGACATGAAAAATGAGAAGAAAATTCTACAATCAACTGTGATAGGGACAACTACTAAGAAAAAAAACCCACCAGCAGGCTCTGTTATGCATCCAGTTGTGGTCAAGCTCCGATACAACCAACGCTCAATCTGGCTCAAGAAAGACTTTGAATCTTCTGATTGCGTTGAGAGGTTGTATAGAGATGAGCTGATTCAGCTTCTTCAGGAGTAAAACCACCATAAATTTGAGCTAATGACATTTGAAAGCCAGCCATCTTGATGGTGTCAGTTCCATGATCTGTGCAGGTGTTTTGAGGAATCCCTCCAAGTTTTTCAACAATATCCAGATAGTGATATCCAATTCTTTGTGGATCATTGTTATTGGCACCCACATATAATCCCAAGACCTTCCTAGACCAAGCATCAATGAAACTGTAAATTGTAATTCCAAAAGGCTTGAATTTATCAAGACCATCACTAGACCAGACATGATTTGGACCATCAACATGAAATACCCGCATCTTCAATCAACCTTGGTGTTGTGCAGCAACACCCTCTGGGTCGATTTGTTGAAGTAAAGTTTGGACTGTGTTCTGGTTGACTTGAATATTATGTAATACAGCCATGGCATTCTTCATGCGTCGTATCCCAGTATCACGATGTGAACCATGTATTATGAATTCCATTTGTTCAATCAGAAGCTCTGGGACCACTAGTCCAGTTTGGAAATCATCTTTCTTCCAGCTACGTGACAAATCTGGGGAAATCTTGCGCACATCATACATATTGATCATAATACCTGTATGTCCCTTGATCTGATCAATGGCTTCTTTCCTTTGATAGCCACATTTATTGAATTCTATGAGGAGTTGTTCTACTAGTGCTTTATCCTG